ACTTTAAACAAGTGTAGAAACATGTTTCCCAATGTATGCAGGTTTCAGTTTGACTAAGGAACTCACTGAAGGTAGACAGAAACAAACAAAAAAAAAGGTTTTTAAGGACATATTTTTCTGTCGATGCTGGAATTTCATCACCTTTATAACCATCAGTATTCAGCTGTTATCCCTGACCTTGTGCACCAGACCACAAAGCCCCTTTTTAGAAAATCCTCAGAGAAATGGCTTTTATTCTGAAATTACTGTACATTGTTGAAGTGAATAATAGTCTGTCTCTTTTATCCCATAAGATCTTTGAATTGTATCCTTGGCAGCAGAGTCCTGCATTGATTTCTGCTCAATTTTGCTCAGAGATGTTGAGAAAAAAAAAATCACGGAATCAATTTTTATTTAGCTCTTGTTTTTACAGGTAGTCACATTGAGACACAGTACTCATTTTCAAAAGAGACCTGTTTCAGACAAACAATAAGACTGACAAGCAGTTACAACAACAGTGTAGTGTAATAAAAAATTATAATAATCAAATTGTTAAATTTAAATAATGAAAATAAGAGCAAACTTGCATAGATTTTTCAAGGCTCCTTCACAAAGAAAAGTTTCCCACAAAGAAATCAAAGTGGAAAACTTGAAATCCAAGGTTTTCTAAGGTACAGAAGCAAAGTAAGAGAAGATCTTGCCAAGTTCAGTCTGTACGAAGGGAACGCTGCAGGTAACGAAGGTCTGGAAACCTAATTAGTAAATCAAAGATCATTTCAAACGTACTCTTTCAAACCGCCAGCAGCTGATTCTTCTGTACATCACAAAGAGCTGGTCAGGCTTTAATCTGTTAAATCCCTTCTGACAACTCAATCACAGCAAACAGTCCCGTGTAATATCAGAGTCGTTACTGAGATTTTTTGAAGTGGCAGAGCTCAGGAATCAGTCTGCTGTTTTTTACGAAACAAAGTCGTTTTACTAAGAAGCTTTGATAAAAGACTGATGAGCAGTTTGCTTGAAAACACTCACTTGCCTGTTCTTAAGTTTGAGCCAAATTCATCCCCCTGAGCATGTGTCAAACTCCAGGCCTGCAGGCCAAATGTGGTTCACCATAACACATAAACACATAGACGTATTGATTTAAAATAAGCACATGCTGCTTTAAAGGCAGCATTGACCATTACCAAGGTAACAGTCGCCCCTAAAATTCCTTAAAAACCTTTTTAATTGTTTTATTTTTGTAAGGGTGTAAAGTTAAAGGTAAGAACTGAAGGAAGTTAAAAAAATAAAAGCCCTGGTAGCATCTGGAAATGTCCGCAAACTAGGGCTGCACCGATTAGTTGAAATAATCGATGACGTCGATTATGTAAATTTGTCGACGCAGATTTTTTATTATCGATTCGCTGTATTACATAACCATCACGTGAATGTTCATGCAATTCCATTTCAGTACCTAAAAGCATCATTGCGACCGTATTGGCATAAGAGTGGTGAGTTTTCCATGCTTCTCCTGAACGCAGCATCGCGCAAGAGCGTAATGACATCAGCAGCCGCTGCTTCAGTTCAGTCTGAAGCTTGAAAACAAGCCTCGCAGCTCCTGGAGTAAAATTTACCGAACAGACCGCCTCTGAATTATCTGGTGGATTAATTATCTTGTGAGCACGACGTTCACTTGCTCAAAGTAAATAAAGTACCGCCACTTTCTTTATTTCATCCACTATTAAACAGAGACCAGTGTTAGGTTGAGCCGCGTTCCCCCATCAGACGGTTCCCCCAGCATCTCAAACAAGAGGAGCTTCCCGACACACGTCTGACCTAAAGAGCACAAGCAGCCAACAAGTGTTGGACGTGTTCTGGATGTTCAAAACGTAGCTTAAATACCTTTTATTTATTTTAACTGCATCCTCTTTTGTTTGTTTGATTTAAACTTATTTGCCTTCCATGGACCTCCATCACACATGTTTCTAGTGGGTAAATGACATCAATAGAAACACGTGGAGCTGGATTTTAATTTGTGCAATAAGACAAAACAGTCTTGTTGTTTTCAACAGTTTTCACCTTAAAGAAATTAGTTAAACAACTGATGTCCTGATGCATCTCAGTAATCCAGGTAAAAAAATCAAAGGAAAAAAAATTGTATAGGTCCTCTGGACGGGTTCTTCTTTAATGAAACGTTTCGTCTCTCTTCCAAGAGACTTCTTCAGTCTGAGAGTTTCAGGCAAAATTCAGGCTTTTGAGTCCTGCCTCCAGGTGACTGATACTCACATCACATGGCCATCGTTCACAGGTGACTCATACTCACATCACCTGGCTATCGCTCACAGGTGACTGATACTCACATCACATGGCCATCGTTCACAGGTGACTCATACTCACATCACATGGCTATCGTTCACCCTAATTAATACCTTTTGTTAACAGGGGGTGGAGTGATACTGCCAATGGCAGCGCTGTAGCAGGGAGACAGCTGAAAACGTAGGCCCCCACCTCTGTTTAATGATGGACGGTCTTTCTTTACAAAAATGGCTTCTTTTATTCCTCTCTCAAACCAACGTTCCTCCCTATCAAGAATGAGAACATCTTCATCTCTGAAAGACTGACCGCTGGCCTGTAAATGAGTGAAAACTGCAGGGTCTGGCCATTAGATGTAGCTCGTCTGTGTTGGGACATTCTTTTGAACAGTGGCTGCTTTGTTTCCCCGATGTATAACTGGTCGCAGTCCTCCTGGCACTTAACAGCATATGCAATATTGCTCTGTTTGTGCCAGCAATTTTTACACACTACCCTCAAAAGATTCAAACTTCATTTTCTTTATTTGTTGCTTGCAAGTTGATTTTTTTATATTCAATAGAAAAAAATTATCTTTTATATAATATTAAATATAGCTCATTCGTTTATAGTTCCCAGAAATTAAAAATCAGTGTCTTGCTTGGTGCCAATGTTGGAGAGTAGTTGGGGTGAGCTAATGTTACTTTGTGTTCTCAATAAATTTGTACCTACGACACAACTGGATCAAACTTTGTCAGGAACTCATTTTGTTGTTTGATTGTTGTGAGAATGTCCTGTGATAACTGTGCAACAAAATTTATTATTAATTTTTTATTTATTGTCAATTGTCATACAACCACAATGTGAATGCCGAGCCATAATTGGGGCAATGGTTCTGTGTGACAGCTTACTAAAAAAAATAAGGTAAATTAACTTTTAGTGGGTTTCAATGTTTTCGTGTTGGACCCAAAGCTGAGCTCTCAACAAGCTCAAATCGTTCAGGATGCACACCGCAGTTCCAGGTTCTCACCAGATCTCGTCCCCCCAGGTGGAGACCAGCTCCTTGATGGACATAAATTACCTTCGTTCCTCCTCCAGAGTGAACTTGGTTGATGCGCATCGCTGCACTTGATAGACACCCCCCAGCGTGGTCGGGGCACGCTCAGTTAATAATTCTCCTCTGCAGGTGAACTCCAAACGCTCCCCGCTTTCTGAATCGACTTGTAATGATAGTTTGTAGAACTGGATCTGATTATCTTCATGCTGTATTTGTCTGTGGAGGCAGAGGAAGACGTTTTCATAGGTAACAGATTAGGTTAGCTTGTGAGGAAGTCGTACAGAAGAAAAGTGGGAAGAATAGTTTAGAAATAGCTGCCACTTTAAGAAGGATCTTGTGTCACCAAACATGACTGATGATGGAGGAAAAACTGCCTTTTTTTCCCTGTTTTGGATGAATTCTGAGGCAGCGAAGCAAGAAATTGTGAAATGTTACAGAGTTGGTAAGTAAATGTAGGACAGGAAGAGATGAGAAAAAGTAAGATGAAGGAGAATTTCTGGCCTAAGAAATGAAGACTGAGGGAACATAAAAGAAGTAAAGTGAAAGGGACGACTGCAGGGGGAGAAGCTTTTTGTCCCCCATGGAGGGTGTGGTGGGGTGCATCTTAGAAGCTGTCGTTCACCTTCATTTAATTCATGCTGTCATCCCATCCTCCCATCATCCACTTCAGTTAGTGTTTGAAGGATGAGTTGAAATGGGGGAGCAGGGTTATGTGGAATTGCTTTGTTCTTCAAGTTAATGTGAGATTTAATTGTCACCTGGTGCCAGCTCCAAAAGCGGGCAATAATGATTCTGCGTGTGTGCTTATTATCAATCAATTAATTAATTAATTTACTGTTATTTAACCAGGCAAATCCCATTGAGATCACAGATCTCTTTTTCAAGGGAGGCCTGGGCCTGAAGACAACCTATTGTACTTGTTTTTGGGGGTGGGGGAAACCGGAGTACCTGGAGAAAACCCACTCAAGCACGGGGAGAAAATGCAAACTCTGCACAGAAAGACCCCAGGTCCGAACCAGGGATCGAACCCAGGACCTTTTTGCTGTGAGGCGTCTGTGCTAACCACTGAGCCGTAGTGTTTCCAAAACATTGAAACATCTCAGAAACGCTCAACAAGATTTATGAAACTTACAGATGTCTAGATCCAAATCTTTAGCCGTTTCACTTTTGGAGCAGTCCCAATTCAAGATGGCTGACACAGCTGATTTATATTAACCACACAAAGATTGCTATTACTCAGTCAGATTTGCAGATATTGATCTGAAACTTGGTCGTATCATTCACACAGTCCAGGCAAGTACTAAAATCGTGATCATGAAAAATTATTGCAATTTAGCACGAGGTTGTGCTTAATCTAAGATAACTGTCATTTTAACAAAATATGATCTTAATCTAAAATTCTGGCATGAAATGAGTGTTATTTTATGTATTTGTTTATGCATTGAGTTCAAAATGTTTATTGAAGTTTGTTAAAATAACTAACATCAGCGGCAGAGATAAATAAATGACAAAAAGCCTAATGGGTGTGCTTTTCAACGAGAAAGTGATCCTTCACTGCTAATTATGTGGTCCAACACTTTCACACACATACAGCAGATCCACCATTTGTAATGTTGTTGCCGTGCAGCACACTGGTCCCATCCGTATAACAAACAGCACAGTTTATGGCTGTAAAACAACAGAAGTAGCAATCTATTATTTGGTGGGCACAGTTAAACAGTAGCTGCATGAATCACTGCCTGATATTTTTATGTTTTTACTACATTTTTTTAGATAGATGGAGGTGGAACTAAGGGTGCAAATTTCAAGCCGTTTATTGAACTGACAGCGTGGAACGCTAATAATTAGACAAAATTTAGTAGCTGCTGCAGTAACTTTTAAAAATAGGTTGCTTTCCCATCCCTTAAAGTAGACAAATCCTGCTTTTAAATCCTTTCTTTTCACATTTAAATCATTCAGTTGGGGTCTTTATAAAGTGGAACTGCAATGCTCCTTATTTTAACTTTACGAGCCCCTCTTTCACCACTTTTCTGCTGTGCGTCTCAAAGCAGCTGGTTTTGTTACTGTTCCTTTAAGACGCTTCAAGCCCCGCCCCCCTCCTGCTTCAAGACCGGTCCACTCCGGTTTGGGAGAGGGGTTTACGTTTTCTAGCTTGCAGAAATGTTTTATTTACAATTTAATTAAAAGATGTGAACAATGGAAGACTTGTCCATCCAGCCTTACATGTTGGAGCCAGAGTCCGACCCAGAACCAGAGTCTGACCCAGAACCAGAGGAGAATTAAGACAAGAAAATGTAAATCTAGACCAGGGCTATTCAACTAAATTGCTCCGGGGGCCATAGTTACTACAGGTCAACAGCTTAGGGGCAGAATATCCAGCAATTAGAGTCATTTAAGTATTACAAAAATCTGTTACCTTTTGAAATAGTTTATTTTGCTGCATTCAATCATGAATACAACATACAGAACCCTATGTAATAAAGGTATGCTAATAAAACAACAAAAACAAAAATAACACATTATGCCTCTTATTTATCACAAATAATATTTTGACATCTCTGACATGCCAAATTTTTAAACCAATTTTATTTTCACTTTCATAGTTTTATTTTTAACTGGTTTTAGTTTTAACTGTCTTGGGTGTTCATTGAAATGATTTTTACCAGCTTCTAGACAAGATCCTGCCGTTTCTGTAGATACCATACATGTCTATGTTTAACTAAAATAACTTATAGGAATTAAGGTAGAAAACTGGGGGTTTGGGCTTCAGAGATGAATGAACCAATTGGCGGGCCGAACTTTGGTCACTCACGGGTCAGATGTGGCCCCCAGGCCGCCAGTTGAATAGCCCTGGTCTAGACCTTATATGGTAATTCCATCGCAGATTATTTGATGTAATAGTTCAGAAAATGTCATAGAAAATAGAGAAAACTCAACGTGCTGAAAAATATCCAAACATTTTAAAAAGATACTTAATTCAACTTTTCTGCACTCGTAGACTCCAAGTGCAACAAAATGTGTTTAACTGCTAAGAAATAGTGGATTTTGAATGAAATGTCTCTTTTTAGTTCATATCTCTTGAATTGAGTTTCTTTGGTAAGGCTATGCACAATTATGGCCTTCTTTGTTGTAGATAACTTTTTGAATTACCTCAATTTGGAGACAAAGTTTAATTCTTACTGGATTGAACGGCTAACTGCTAATTGGACAAAACCACCAAAGTGTCCTCTTAAAATAAAATCCAATGTGTCACATTTTTAACCGACGACAGTTTTAATCGTGGTAATCTATATAGAATTAGGTTTTTTATTTGGTTGTTTTTTCACAAATGAGTTTTTTTCCTTCAGATAAACCAAATTAATTTTGCAGGAGTCATGGTATAACGTATATTGAGGCTATATTTTTAAAATCTACTGTAAAGAATATGATACTTTAGGTGACATCAGTGGTCTATTCTGACAGTTAGAAAGCACATTTTTAAAAAAAAGTCTCCATCCACAAAGGTCTTTTTAAAAGCAGTACTGCTCTGCCCTGCAGCAGTCTTCAGTTTTTCTCCTGACCTTTACAAATCATCACTTTTTTTTTACATTGTGTTGACAAGTTTAATACAAGGCTGCTGCTGTGGACTTTACTCTGCCATTTACATCAAATGAAAACCAATGTTTGRTTTTTCTATAGCACTAACAGAATGACTATAAATACAATAATATAGTTTTTAATGCCTTGTGTTGGATTCACTCACTGCTTTCTCTTAACCTTTCCTTATCTCCCCCTCCCCCCTTCAGTAATATGTTCTGCTTATCTGTCTGTCTCCCCGTCTGTGTCCTCAGGTGTGGGAGATGCTGCTGAGCTCCAAGGCTCCAACGATTAACGTGTTCATGGCCGTGCCGACCATTTACTCCAAACTGATCCAGTTCTACGATCAGCACTACCAACAGCCTCTTCTGAAGGAGTTTGTCAAAGCGGTTTGCAAGGAGAGAATCAGGTACAGTAATAAACACTTTCAAGCAGTGGGATTTTTTTTTTTTTTAAAGTTTGAAAACTCTACAAAATGTCAATAAAAAATACAAATTGGAAATCAACGAAACTCTCTTTAACAAATAATCTAGATTTCTTTTTAAATTTCTGTACACATTTACTTTTTTATGGCTTAATTTTCATGTTTTTAACACATCTGGTTTCACCAGTGGTGTATTTTAGAATTGTTGTTGAGCACTGTTGTATAAAGTACCTGAAAGTGATACTTGAGTAAAAGTACAAGTACCTTATTAGAAAATTACTTTGGTAAAAGTTAAAGTCTCCTAAGAATATTACTTGAGTAAAAGTCTTAAAGTATCTGATTTATTTGTACTTACCGTAAGTATCAAAAGTAAATTTCTGACATAAAATGTACTTAAGTAATAAATATAAAAGTATTGAGTAAAAATGAGCGGTTAGATTTTGCAAATTACCTTTATTGGAAGGTGATCTCTTCAAAAAAWWWTTTTTTCTAAAGGTGTGCAGATTTGTTGGATTGTGTACAAACTTGCTACAGTATCAGAATGGTAAATATTTATACTTCTCATCCAACCACAATTAAATTCACTCTATCTAGGAGCCACAATTTTTCAGGGTAGTATTTTTTTTTTTTTTTTCCAGATTTATTACCTTTATTCATCTGTTTCTCTGCTTCACAAACACATTTACAGCACAAATATTACTGAGTGTAGGCCCTAAACACAACCTGATGACTGTAAAACAAATAGACATGTCCCGACAGCTTTTTCACTTCTGATACCGTACAGATACTGCAGCCCCAAGTATCACAGCCCTGAGGATCAGATACCGCTAGGGATGGGTACCTTTGACATTTCAATCGATTCGGTACCTATCTCCGGTACCTGGGAATCGGTACCGGTACTTAACGGTACCAGTTTTCTGTACTTTGTGTGTGTGTGTTTTTTTTTTTTTTTTTGAACTTTATTTTTATTTATTTTTTTTTCCAACAACACATTCCCACAATTACATTTTCCTGTCTCAAAAATGACACATCTTCAGGGTAGTATTTTTTTAACAATATCGAGCCAAAATCTCTCGATTTACCAGCCGGTCTACGTTCCTACCCTCATCTATAGTAACAAGCTTTGGGTTGTGACCGAAAGATCGCGGATACAAGCGGCCAAAATGAGTTTCCTCTTCAGGGTGTCTGGGCTCTCCCTTAGAGATAGGGTGAGAAGTTCAGTCATCCGGGAAGGACTCAGAGTAGAGCCGCTGCTCCTCCACATCAAGAGGAGCCAGTTGAGGTGGTTCATCTGGTTAGGATGCCTCCTGGACGCCTCCCTGGTGAGGTGTTCCGAGCATGTCCCACTGGGAGGAGACCCAGAGTAAGACCCAGGACACTCTGGAGGGACTATGTTTCTCAGCTGGCCTGGGAACGCCTTGGGATTCCCCTGGATGAACTGGTCCAAGTGGCTGGGGAGAGGGAAGTCTGGGTCTCTCTGCTTTAGGCTGCTGCCCCCGAGACCCGACCCCGGATAAGCAGCAGAAAACAGACGGACGAGCCAAAATGAAACAGGAGAAACGACTTTCTACTTCTTACCTTTTTAAAAAAACGTAAGGAGTAGAAGTAAAAAGTAGGCTGAAAAATAATTACTCAAGTACAGATAACTAAAAATTTTTACTTAAATACAGTAACAAAGTATTTGTTCTTAGTTACATTACAACTCTGTTGTTGGGTAAATTCGTACAGGTTTTTTTTTTTTCAGTGATTTTTGGTCAACCGTAGCACAAAAACGGCTGCACGGATCAACATGAAATTTGGCAGGACTGTAGATGAGTCCGACCTGCACTGCGCCAGCCAACGGTTTTACGAAAGACCCCATATTTGAGGAGGGGGCTCCTTTCAAAGAGGGGTTGTCTGGACATGCAAAAATGCTTATAACTCAGAAACTGTTCAACATAGAAGCTTCAGATTTCTTTTGGTGTTTAGCTCTGATGAAGCTTTATCCATCAGGCCCACCAATCAGTGCCCCCCC